TCCTAGCCCACTTGGCAGAACATCCCGTTTGCAGGCAAGTTCTCCCAAGGTCAGCAGACACCTCGTTTTCAAGCATGTTTGTTGTTACCTATCTAAACCTTGAAGAAGCCTCTCGTTTGCGAGCAGGCCCTCCCAAGGACAGCAGACACCTCGTTTGCAAGCATGTCCGCTGTTACTTATCTATACCTTGACAGAATATCCCGTTTGCAGGCAGACTCCATCAAGAACAGTAATAGTAACGCAGTTACATTTGATTCTCTACAAAGAGTCTGAAGAAGACAGTTTCTCCGGATGTGGGTCATGAGGGCTGCTGAAATGTCTTCTCCAGATCTGAAGGGCGGCGGTGTTCAGGAGACCTTCAACACTTCCATTCTGGTAAGAGATAATACCTGACTTAAGTGATTTCATAGCTCTGAACAAAGAGTATGTGGTCTAACTAAAAGGAACAAACAAAAAAATTAAAAAGAGTATATGGTAATATTAAAAGCAGAGGCTGTAATAAAAAAAAAAGAGTATATGGTAGAAAAGCACACATAAGGTTCTCAAAATAGCCAGAAAGTAAAGAAGCTACTTTGATCTTATCCTTGAAGAGGTTTAGCAGTTGGAATTGGCCATTAGAAGCTGCCATGCTTCATGGTAGTCGTTGAGGCCATATTAGTGATGAGTTTCATTGTCACAAAGTAATGGATATTTCTTAAGGAATTTGCTGCTTAACACACATATGCAATAACTATGTTTTCAACAAATCTCACGTATCTCTCATATGTGTGTGGAAATATGTAGTTGATGACAAGGAAGGTCCTTCTAGAAATTTGAAATTGTCGATATAGTTTTATCCATTGTCTAATGATTATTTTTAAGTCAAAACTGCCCCAAGAATGAATTTAAAATGTCACTTATGAGAAATTAAAAATTTTAAAGTAACAATTACTTTTGTGTTTGCCCTATTATAGTGATACCCAGTAACATCTTTCAAATGTCCAGGTTCTCTTAAGTACTATTATTATTATTTTCCCAGAACATCACATTTCTAGAACATTCTTTCCTCATTATGCTGTGCCTGGGGAAACACTGATGTTTTATTAACAGATTAGTTTTGATTTCTTATATTTTATTTAAATGGAATCAGATGACTCCTATTTTTTGATCGGCCTTGTTTTATTTAGCTTACATATTTGTTTTAGCTTTTAAAATTGTCTTAGCCATGAACAGATGAACCAGCAGAAGCATTATTTATGAATATTTGAAAAAATATTTCTTGAGTACACAGTACATACTATCCATTACAGGAAGATTTGTATGCAAGAAACACAGATATTCCCAGTTCTTTTGTGAAACACCTAAATAACCATTTTACTACACTGAAGGAGAAACACTTAATAGGTTTATCTTCAAATTTAAGATTATAATAAATATTTTACAAATGAATAAAACACTTTGGAATTATTAAACTTTCCTCAAAAAAAGATAATATACGGTGAGAATGTATTTGTCCCCATCCCTGAATTTTGATATGTTGCAGCCCTAATTCCCATGAGATATTATTTGAATGTATTCTCTGTAAGTTTAGATGAGGCCATGAAGGTAGCCTTATAAGAACATGGATGTGAGTTATCTATCACTCAGCCAGATGAGGATGCTGCAAGAAGACAGTAAATGCACACTAGCATGAGGTCCAAGGGACAATAACAATATCAATAATTTTCCCTGTTGTAAAGCAAAGTTTTGGGATCTTATGATGATAAAAATCAAACCAAAGCATTGACATGGGTCCTAGATATTTTTTTGTACTACACATTTAATACCAAAAGTAAGAAAATAGATTAATAAATAGTAATCAATGAATATTTTCATTTCAGTAATTTAAAAAGCAGTATTCCATGTACCACAAATATTTAGATGTAATTTCTCTCATTCTTATTCACTAAAATTTAAATTTGTATCCTAATTACTGAAGAATTTATTAAATAGATCATTTTATTTCTAATGGTATCGGTCTTCAGCAGAAACCTTTGCTAGCTATTATAGATTACATGTTTCAGATTTTGGGGGAGAGGTTACAATTCACAAGAATATATTTTGCTTTGGACTATCATGCATGTCTTCCACTTGGAAACAGTAATACCTTTCTACACAGTGTCCTGTGATTCCAGGACAATGCTACAATGAGGGGATTTCTGCTTAGAGTTTGTTCACAGTTTGCTACTGATATTGTTTCCTTCTGTTTTTGCATATTTTTTAAAATTGAGAGGAAATGCATATAACATAACATTTTAATCATTTAAAATTGTACAGTTTTGTATACACATCACACTATTTGAATTTGTTATGGTGTATTATGTCCCAAGATGTGGTCTGCTTTCAGTGAATATTTCATGTGAGCTTAAGAAGAATGTATAATCTGCTATTTTTTGTTAAAGTATAGGTGTTCCAAAATTTATAATGGGGTCATAACCCAATAAGCCCCCATAAGCTGAAACAATCCGAAATCTAAGATACATTAATATAGCTAAATGACTGAATATCATAACTTTGTCTAGGCATTTTTTTTCATTACGGGGGATTGAACCAAGTGGCATTTAAACACTGAGCTATACTCCCAGTCCCTTTTAATTTTATTTTGTGATAGGGTCTCAGTAAGTTTTTTAGGGCCTTGCTAAGTTTCTGAGGCTAGTCATGAAATTGTGATTGTCCTCCCTCAGCCTCGTAAATATTTGCATTTCAGGCATGCACCATCGTCCCTGATTTATCTAGCTATCTTAAATATATGCAGTGAAGTTATATTAGCCTAAGGTTTAGCAAAACCATCTATTTGTTTTATGATAAGGTTTTGAAAATCTCATGTAGTTTTATTGAATACTGTACCGAAGGTAAAAGAATAAAAACAAAAACAGAATGATTATACGGGTATGCCTCTGGACCATCAGTCAAATTCAGAGGTCAAAGCATTTTAAATTAGAAACCATCTGCATTCTACAGATACCAACAATGTCCAGGAAACTAATAATGCTTATGAATTCCACTGTGACCTTATTGACTTTCTATCTTTTGGGGTCTTTCCATTTCTCCTAATGAGGGTACTGTTGACAACAGGGACATTCTTTGTTCCACTAAGCTGGGCAGAGTTTTTCCCATTGCCTGAGTCTGAGCCTAGTTCTGCTAGTTAGTATAATTTCTCAGATGTCCTGAAGATGAAGGTGTTTTGTTTCAGAGAAAGGAAAGAGGACAAAGAGGAGGCCTGTGCAAAGGCATTTGTGGTGCTTAGGACCAACCTGCAGTTGCCATAGATACATGATGTCATTTTGGTGACCATGTTAAGCAGGACTTGCTCTAGTATAAGAGCAGTATCAGGCCTCCAGGTGTTTGGATTCAGTGGAGGGTGTGAGTACCCCATGATGTCAGCTGAACCCTACTGGGGTGTGTGGATATGAAGTGACCCCAGTCCCAAATCACTTCTTTCCTTCTCTGGGATTTGGTGCTCTGCTGACTTGAGAGGGAAAGAAATGTGGAACTCTCCTTGCCCCAAGCAGTGTGATCTGTGTGGTTATTGTGGGATCATCAGTGACTGTATGAATTTGGGACACTTCTTATTCCTTTCAATTTTATTTTGATAGGATGGATGTGGAAAGAGGGAGAAAAAGACCCTGGTGAGAAGTCCATTGTACATTCTGCTTATAATCACTATCCGATTGTACCAGTGCCATTGGTCACTGACCTAGTGCTAGTGTGGTGTCTTGCAAATATTTTCCCCATAAAGCATAGTAACACTGGATTCAGTCTCCATCTGAACTTCTCTTCATCTGGTGACTGAGCTCATTTCAATTGTCTGAGGAAGACAGTTTAAGATGTGGGTCATGATGCCTGCAGAAGCTTCTATCCAGATCTGAAGGCCAGCAGTGCTCAGGAGACCCTGATACTTCCATCCATGGTAAGATATAATGCCTGGCTCAAGTGAGTTCATAGATCTGAACAAGAGCACATGGTGGATTAGCACACATGAGGTTCACAAAATAGCAAGAAAGTACAGAAACTATTTTGATTTCATCCTTTTGGCATCTTTGTAGATGGATTTTCCTTCAATCCTCATGTTTATGTTTTGTAGTAGCCTTTGAGGCCCATGTAATAATTTCCACTTAGTCTGAAAGGAATGATTTGCCCTTCTTAAAGAAAGAACATTGAGCTTCTCCTGTACTGGCATATATATAAATTATATATAATGTGAGTCATATATATATATATATATATATAGAGAGAGAGAGAGAGAGAGAGAGAGAGTATAATGAGCATTTTTTTGTGAATTCCAGTTCAAAATCTATTCTGAAAAACAATACCTTATAACTGGAAGGTTTTATTCTGCACATTATTAACTTCTTCAATAAATACAGTAAAAAGATTATACTTTTATTAGCTGATACATAGGCATCTCTTAAATGGGTGTTGACAAGGCAGTTGCTTAGTCTCTTCCTTAGGAATTTGTGATTGTAACATGGATTCTTTCCTGGTAACTAGGGTTTTATCCATTCTAGAGTAAATTTTTAAAAAGCCACTTATAATCCAAGTGTTATATCAATAAGTTAGTTATAAGATTTTAAAATGTTAAAATGTTAATTACATATGTGTTTGTTTTCTGTAGTGATAGTCCACAAGTTCCTTTATATTAACCAGATACTCTTAAATATTATTAGGATAACATTGCCAGGATGTCATATTCTCAGTTCTGTGTCCCTCAGCCACCCTTGCCTCATTATGCCTGTCTCCAGGCAACCACTGATTTTTTTGTCAAGAGATCAGTTTTATTTCCTATAGTTTTCTATATATGGAATCACACAGGTGATTGTCTATTGGGATGGATGCAGGTCATTAAGGATATCCTTTTAATTTACTATTTGAATTATCTTTTTACAATGAATCTGTGAAACGACAGATGCATCATTTCCTTACACCTCTGAAACTCTTTAATATATACTATCTGCTATGAGCAAACTTGTGTTGGGAAATTTGGAGTGTCTAATTCTTTCATAGATCACCAAAATATCCATTCCCTATGATCCAAAGAAGAAATACCCACATATTTATCTTCAGTGTCAGGAATTTAATAAATATTTATCCAATCAATATAACAAGTTGGAGAGATACAACTCTTCCAGATAAGAAGGCTAAGAACTAAATGTGTGTGTCTTCCAAATTCATGTGTTGAAGCCCTAGTCCCCAAGTAATGGTTATTCCAAGTGGGAGCTTTGGGAGGTCATTAGGTGTTAGATGAGGTCATAAGTGTAGAACTTTCTTAATGGTATTAGTACCCTTATTAAAACACTCATCAGGGAGAGAAATTTCTTCTGCTCTGTCTCTACCATGTAAAGATACAGCATAAAGGA